AAATTAGTTAATTGTTACATTTCTCTACATTTCTCTTTAAAGAAAGAAAATAGTTACTTGTTACATATCACTTATCATTTAACATTAGTTAAACTAGTTACTTATTTAATTGCTACATTTCTCATTAAATAAAAAAAAGTAGTAAATTTTTACATTTGTCATATTAATATTAGTTAAACTACTTAATTGTTACATTTGTCATATTAATATTAGTTAATTGCTACATTGCTCATTAAAGTAAAAAAAAAAAACTAGTTAATTTTTACATTTGTCATATTAATATTAGTTAAACTACTTAATTGTTACATTTGTCATATTAATATTAGTTAATTGCTACATTGCTCATTAAAGTAAAAAAAACTAGTTAATTTTTATATTTGTCATATTAATATTAGTTAAACTACTTAATTGTTACATTTCTCATATTAATATTAGTTAATTGCTACATTGCTCATTAAAGTAAAAAAAAGTAGTTAATTTTTACATTTCTCATATTAGTTAATTGCTACATTTCTCATTAAAGTATTAATTAGAAGTAGTTCGATTTTTTTGTCAAGGAAAACAAATTGTTACACTAAAATATACTCATATTTTAGTTCGAATTTGCTATAGTTTTCTTAGTCACATTTTATTATTTCTATTGTACTCATATATAATATTTGATATCATTTAATATTTGTTCAATTTTAAAGATGGAGCGTGGTAGACATTCTGTAGATGTGGGTAATCTCCAACGCAACCGCAAGAGGGAGATTGCGTCGACTCGTCCTACTTCACGCAAAGGCAAAGGTAAAGCGCGGGCCGAGTCTTCTTTTCAAAGTCGAGATGATATGATGATGTCCAACGAGCATATACAAAACCTATTGTCCCAAAATGATCCACGCTTTGCACAAGAACAACAAATCCCGACAACCATTGATGAAAAGGAGCTCGAGGATGACGATGCGGAGGAGGACGCAGGGGGCGACGGGACTCACGGCACCCCGGATGATGAGCAAGAGTTGGAGGACGAGGGCGGTTCAACCCAAACTGGTAAGAAATCTAAATCTCCTATTATTGAAAACAATTTTACAAAAAGGAAAGACAAAAATACCAAAAAATGGTACGCAAGTTGCAATCATTGCAACAAAGAGTATAGCTTGGGAACTTCTGGCAGATACGGGAGTCTCACAAGGCATCTTAAGTCCGCCCATCTTGTGGAGTATGCGAAAATAGACAAGGGCAAGGGGAAGCAAACACAAATATCGAGGTTTGCAAATTCTCAACCCTATGGTAATTTCTCCTATGATGATAAAAAACATTTGACTGGTATGTCTAATTTAATTGTTGAAGAAAATTTACCATATATTTTTTCCGAAAGTCTTGCTTTAAGAGATTATGCTCAAGGTACTTTAAATCCTCAATTTAGAAATTATAGTCGCAAAACGATTAAAAAAGAAGTTATAAGGCAATATAACTTCGAAAAAGAAAAATTACAAACATTTTTTGCAAACTTTAATGGACGTGTTAGTATTTGTAGCGATATATGGGAGAATACTTATCATCATTTATATTATTTGGGTCTTACTGCACATTATATTGATGATGATTGGAATATGCATAAACGTGTTCTTGCTTTTCGTGAATTCAATGATCGTCATACTGCTAATAATATTTATATTCTCATTGAGCGTATTTTAATTGAGTATAATTTGCTTGATAAGGTGTTTGCTGTAGGTTTTGATAATGCTAGTAATAATACTGCTGTTATACCTAGATTACGTGAATTGTGTGGTGCTTCTACATTGATGGGTAGGTTTTTTCATCAACGTTGTGCATGTCATATTCTAAATTTGTGTGTACAAGATGGATTAACGGCATTAGGAAATGCTTTGGAGGTAGTGAAGGGGGGAATTAAATTGATTTGGGCTAACACTCCACTAAAAATGCAATGGCGGCAATATTTGAAGGAAAGACATGTCAATTATTGTGCTTTTCCTAAAGATTTGTCTATTCGTTGGAAAGTACTTATAACTTAATTCAAGTACTTATTAGATATAAAGATCATTTTCCTGCTTTTTTAAGACAAACTTGTAACTATATTATAAACCCGACTGACATCGACACTTGTGAAAAAATTGTTAATGTTTTGGTATATTTTAACAACGCAACTCAAACTTTTAGTCATGTTTATAGACCTACCGCAAACGAATTTTTTGTTGAAGCTGTTAATCTCGCCGGCGCTTTTTTAGAATTTTCCGATGCCGCTTACGTTAGTTATTTTTGTGATTTCATGAAACTAAAGTTTTTAAAATATTATTCACATGTTCCGCATATATATGGTATTGCATTTGTTCTTGATCCTCATTATAAACTTGCCTCGTTGCCAAGTTGTATAGATTACTATTACGCTTCTTTTTTTCCAACTCAAGAGTTAGATGATAATCCCATCGACCCTAAACAAGAATACAACGAGGTTAGTAATTTATTTCATCAATTGTATAATGAATTTCATGCACAGTATGGTAATGCACCCCCTCCCATGCCGCGGACATCTTCTTCATCTAAAGGAAAATCACTTTTAAAATCTGCATTTGGTTCTCTTATGAAAAAAAGTAGAGCAACTCCCGCTACTGAACAAAGCTCAGTTAACGAGCTTTCTTTGTATCTAACATTGAATGTTGATTATGAAGTTGGGGATGACTTTGACGTTCTTAAGTGGTGGAAGGAAAATGAAAGAACGTTCCCGGTTTTATCAAAGATGGCTAAGCAAGTGCTAGCAATGCCGATATCAACAGTTGCCGTGGAACAAGAATTTAGTGCGGCCGGCAACGTCCTAACCGATTATAGAACGAGGTTGAGCCCGAGCTCTCTTGAGACGCTAGTTTGCTTCCACGATTGGTTGAAGGCCCAACAAAGAACTCAAGAAATGACCATCGCTCCCACCCGCCACTTTATGGAGGAAACAACCACCGAAGGCGGAGATTCCGATTGATTTTTATTACAAAATGTATTACATTTTTTAAATGCATCCTAATTCTCAATTGTACTTCTTATTCTCATAAATTCACATTTTTTATATTATTGTGTACATCAATTCAATAATTCTCAAAAAAAATTATTCAATAATCAATTCAATAAAATTAATTTGTAAACTTGTACTTCATATTTCAAATAAATATGCGTTTATTTTTTCATATGTAGCACTTCTCAAATTAATTAATTGGTTACAAACTTATAACTTACAACTTGAAATTATTTTTGTAAAATCTAAAGGTTGTTTTTAAATTAAAATATGTAATATTAATATGTAAATTAATTAATTGGTTACAAACTTACAAGTTACAACTTCAATATGTAATTTGTTTAAATACTTATACACCTATTTTGTAACATTTGTAAATTATAGTTTTACTTAATTCATTAAGTAAATAAATCAAATCACTTTTCTAAGTAAAAATAGTTTTACTTAATTCATTAAATTAATTAACTTATTTTACATTATGTATAATTTTCAAAAAAAAAATTAAAAACATTTTGAAATACAAAATTGTTCCCAAACGGCTATATAGCCGTTGGGGATTAGGGTGGGGGGCAGGGGGGTCCCGGGGGTGGTGGTGTGGGGGTGGGGTTCAAAAAAACTATAAATACATCTATTTTCTATCATTTTTCTACACCTCTTATCCAACTCTTCTCCATCTCTTCTCCATCTTCATCTTCTCTTATTATCCTACATTTCTACTTATACATCTACCATTTTAAAGATGGAAAGTTTCTCCCCTCTTGTTTTCTACCATTTTTCTACCGATTTATTAGTTTCTCCCCCTAAGGTTGGAAATACTGTCTCATTGAAATGACAGTCAGCGAACCGTGCGGTGAATAAGTCACCAGTCATCGGTTCAAGATATTTTATATTGAGGGAGATTCAAATCCAACATAAATTCCCAACCTTCTTTGAGGACCCTTTTTTGTACGATGAGGTGGAACAATCGGAACATAAACAGCACAACCAAATATCTTTATGTGTGCTAAGTTTGGCTCTTGTCCAGTAACTAATTGCATTGGAGAATATTCATGATACGCAGTCGGTCTAAGCCGAATTAAATTTGCTGCATGCAAAATAGCATGTCCCCAAGCTGATGAAGGTAAATTACACTTCATTAGTAATGGTCTAGAGATTGATTGTAATCGTTTAATCAAAGATTCAGCAAGACCATTTTATGTATGGACATGAGCAACAGGGTGCTCCACATCAATCCCAATCGACATACAATAGTCGTTAAATGATTGGGAAGTAAATTCTCCTGCATTATCAAGTCGGATTCACTTTATAGAATGATCCGGAAAATGAGCTCTTAATCGTATAATTTGAGCGAGGAGTTTAGCAAATGCTAAATTTCTAGTCGATAAAAGACTAACATGTGACCAACGTGTTGAAGCATCAATCAACACCATAAAATGAGCCCAACATGAATGTTTTCTGATCATCTAACTTTGTGTTGGAAACCAAATTTATTTCAAATGGACTAATATAAGTGAAATATAGTCCTGAGGAATATGCTGGCAATTTTTCACATATACATTTAGTGCCAGATTTAGTTGTCGTAAGACAAAGATATTCCTTTTGGTTTTCATTCATGGTTTCTATGTGATAACCATTTTGACGCATGTCTTTAAAACTCAATAAATTTCCCCGTGATTTGCTGGAGTACAAAGCGTCATTTATAAGTAATTTTGTCCCGTTAGGGAGCATCACATATGCTTTCCCAGAGCCTTCAATGAGCTTCGCAACACCTGATATTGTATTGACTTTAGCCTCAACTAAAGTCATTTGAGAAAAATATATTTTATTTCTCAAAATGGTGTGCGTTGTGGCGCTGTCTATCAGACATAGCTCTTTATCACTTGAGTGATCCATATCTTCAATATATGTAAATAAACATAAGCTTGACCACAAATTATGCATATTATTTAACAAAAGTACATATATTACACAAATTTATTTAAAAACAAGATAAAAAGGGGAAGAGAGATAAAGTACATAAAACTAGTATTTTACAATATCAGGAGTCTAATATTTTATTTTGTAGCATTTTGATTTATGGCAAAAGCATCATCCATAATGACATTGTCCAAAATAATGCCTTCCAATGCCACTGTGTTTTGCATTTGATTCAGTGGCTAAATTATGGCCAGATGGACCATAAACAGAAGAACTAGAATCGATGGATCACAAATTGTGGTTCTTCATCAAAAGGTCATTATTTTGCTCAGCTACCAGCAATACTGGTATTAGGTCAGAGTACTTTTTAAAACCCTTTTCTCTATATTGCAATTGGAGCAACATATTAGAAATATGCATAGTGGAAAATGTTTTCTCTAACATATCAGTGTCAGTGACTTTTTGTCCACATAACTTTAGTTTGGATGTTATATGGGACATAGCAAAGTTATAGTCACTGATAGATTTAAAGTCCTGGAATCTTAGATTGATCCAGTCGTACTGAGCTTTAGGTAAAAGGACCTTTTGTTGCTGGTCTTCCACATTCCATTCCAAATATTTTTGACCGGACAAGTCAAATTCTCTTTTGCTTATATTTGCCATGATATACTACAAAATTATTAATTAAATTTATTAGTAAATGTGTACATATTTGGGTACTAATTAGTCATGTAGTATGTATAAACTTATCGATACTTAAAATTGTCATTAACAATATATTTAATAGTAAGTCTTAAAAGTCTACCTTTATTTTAAATGAAACTCAGTGAGCCTAGTTTCGCATTCCTTCAGTATAATTTATTCAAAACAAATAGATGCATGTGTAAATGTAAAATTAAAGGAAAGACACGTAGAACTATGTAAGCTAAGTTTGTATCGGTCATGTGTCTCTTGATGTATGTAGTAAAATCTACTACGTATTAATATTACTAGATTTTCACCCGTGCGATGCACGGTACAAAAATAATCATATCATGTAAAGTTGTTTACATCAACGATCAAGAATAACATCAACGATTGATAAAATTATAATAAGAATAGTTTAATAATTATAATATGATATAGTGTAATATACTAAGCATGACAATAATAGCGATGATAAAGATAATAATTATCATATTGGATGGCCACACATGTATTTTTACAATTTCATTTGTAGACCATTATTCATTTTCATCCCATTTCACTTCATTCTCATCGATAGACCTAAACTTTCTTTCCCATGTTTAGTGGCCCCTGTTTCAACAATCTTTAAATCGTCAAGTGAATGCTATATTGTTGTGTCCAAAGTTTCCTTATTTGATGATTCGAATGATTACGATGACCGAGAAACAATAAAAAATTCTCCGAACAATTTACTTTCTTCGCCTCTCATCTTTTGGGTATACACTTAACACGTTTGTTCCTCACTCTAATTCTCTTTCACATTGTTATGAATTATAGGATGAACATTGACCAAAGGTATTCTAACCATGTATCACACAAACACAAACACTCCTTTAAATTATGAGAAATGTGTCAACGGCTTGGAATATGAACAATTCCGATGCACAAAACATAAATTAAGTAATGATTACATCATTTGATTTGTTAACATTATTTTGTTTTTGAAGAGGATTTGAAGAGGATTTGCTAATTGATAACAATAATAACAACAACAATAACAGTAATACTCATTTTGAACGGCCCATGTCAATTTTTTAAATACGATAGTAATTCGTAGTAATAATACTTGTAATATTTAGAACCCGTTTGGTAACATAAAAATCGGCTGATTCTGCTGAAATTTATGAAGTTCTGGTTGAACTGACTACATTGGCTGATTCTATTGATTTAAGAAAAAAATAATAATATATTTTATTAATAAAAATTATATGTAAAAATAACTAAATTGGTCATCTACAGTAACTTCAACCAATACAACCAGAAAAGTAACTACAACCTTACTTTTTTTTATTATTACACAATTTAGCGCACGAAAACAAAAAATTCACGTTTGGTGAAAAAGTTAGCTGATAAGCATGATAAGCCAAAAAACGATGTTATCAAACGACCATTTGAGTATCTATCTTGGATAGCCCATCCCAGTTTTTAATTAATAATTCTCCTAACTTTGTCCGATTTTACTTTTTTTGGTCTGTCTTATTAAGTTTGTCTTACACCATATTGGTAATATTTGAGTGGTTACAATTCATTCTTATTTTATTTACATTTTATCAATTCAATATTAATCACACAATTCCATTTTTTTTAAAGTTGTGTCACGCCTCTTTGTCCCAAACATAGTGAGACGAAGGTAGTAATAATAATAATGTCCAGTTCAGAAAACCCATATTAGCCCAACCCAAAAACGAATTATTACCGGTGGGCGTAGCTCGACCGGTAGCAAGGGAGTGCCACAAGAATTAGGTCTCGGGTTCAGAAAACCCATAATAATGTTTTTTTTTTCAAAAACGAATTATTAAAACTCACCCATAATCTCAACCCTAAGGCTAACCGCAACCCGTTCCCGTCAATAAATCAAATTTAACAACATTTTATACGTATTCATTCAGTCAATTAGCTTTTCTCTACAACCCAGTACCATCAATATATTCACTCCGCACATTTTTTTTAAAATAAATGTATAGATCCTTACTTTTATTATCACATATGACAATTTTATTTTTTCCAATAGTTATAATTTAAAAAATCAAACATTTCGATGTCAAAAAATATTTTTTCGTAAGTATTAAAAATGTTCATTTTTTCAATTTTAGCCAGCGAAAGAGCTGGCCTTCTGTTTCACCGAAAGACCTAGCGGCACTCCAGGACGTCCACACCACGCTCGCTTGCGGACCACACGAATTTGCTGCAGAAGGCTGTCGCATGGCTGCCAGCTGTGGATACGTCAAAAGGAGCTTCTGCGGATTTATTGTTGCTCCAGCATTCAGTGGAAAAGCAGCGTCAATAGTCCCACTCAAAAGAGTCCCTTCCTCCCGTTCCCAAATACATGGGTTGCTATGCTTTTTGGGGTGAATAGATTAAATTACCCTTATTCAACCCTGGGTTGTGGGCAGCCTAATAACGCCCTATATCAAATTGTCTGTCATTTCTTCCGTACACATTACACAACACTTCAAAGGACCATTGGTTAGTACGATGGCCTCTCATACGATTGTTAACGTATCATCCGATTTCTCCTGGACCTTTTCATGATCCATGTCGATTATTAGCCCCCAATCCAACCATATCTATGCTCAAATCGTGAAATCAGTAGCAGCCGATGCTTTCTTGTCCGACCATTGGAATATATACGGTACCTGAGGGATAATCATAGGATCTCAAACCGTCTACACTCGTCTCTTAATTTGGGTAGAAGCAGAGAACACCCAATGTTTCTCAGAAAGTCTATTCCATTTGCCGGTAGTGAGCTCATCTTGTACAAAAACTCTAACAGGCGAGAGGCTGGTTAAGTATTGCGACTTATGCCAAACTTGCCATTCAAGTCAAGAACCAATAGCATCGATTTGACCACCCTGCATAATGTGTGTTATGCTCCCTATAGGTAATATATTCACCCTATAATAAGTAACGAAAATATTATTATTAACTATTATTGATTATTATTTACTCTTATCTAGATCACTAACTTTAAAAAGTTTGGTTTTCATTAATTTATACAAATAATTAATAAGCACAAATTTTATCAAATCCAAAACTTCTTAAGGCATCCTACCCAGCCTTGGAAAATACTCCTTGTGGTTTAGTGCCGATAGGTAATATGTTCAATCATTGCAAGTACATTCATTATGTTTACTCGTTGTATTCCAAAGGATTTTGTGCTTTTAACCTTGTTTTTGAAATGATCATTTCTAAAAAATACAGAGTACGTTTTGAAATCATAAACCTCATATATTGTTTTTTAAATGAACATTTTTAAATAATACCTTTTGAGGTCATAAACATCATCTATTGAAGTAGCATTGAGCGTATTACTGTCTTTACTGAAAATTGGTTTGTTGGTTACCAAATGTAAAAGCAAACCCTTTCAGGATTATCATTACTATCAATGCGTTAAATTGGGGGGAAAAAACTTACATGTTCGCAAATTGTATACCTTGCGACTCTTACGCATAATGGCCAAGGTGCTCTGTGACCAACATTTCTTGTGAGAGAGCATTTTGTATTTCGTTTACAAATATTTGCTACTCCGTATTTTGCTGTGAGAGGGTTGATGGTTTAGTCTCCGAATGTGTTCTTTTATATTGCAAGTTATGCGGCGTATGCCTCACTCTTCACTTTATATTGGGTCATTATAATATCCAATGAATAATAAACAATACTCCGTACTTCGTAGAATGCAATTTGGATAAGTACAATGCATAGAGATATGATGGGACAAATCAGCATGGTGACCCTTAAATGAATTGTCAACATCAATGTTGAATGGGACATAAATATGAATGGTAAAATGACGGGTGCAGTGCGAAAGGACAACTGTCCATATTAGCTGTCAAAATAGCAATTAATTTTATTTAGCTATAAAAAATAACCCGAGACACTGTAAACCTTCAGCCCAATTTTGGTCCATTGTTAACCCATGATAGTGACAGTTTTGGGCGGGAAATTCATCAGAATTTCCACCTCTTTTTATATAGGGGGTGTTTGGCAATTGGCTGTTGGCTGTTAGCTGTTGGCCGATTTTGTTGGCTGATTCATAATAGCGGATTCTGTTGGCTGTTTTGATTAGCTGATAGTATTAGCAGTTAGTAAAATAGTGTTTGGTTAAACGGCTATTTACAATCAGCTGATATCTTGTTAAATGACTATTAAGGGCATCAATTGATTTTTTAGTTAATGTAATTAACTAAACCGTTTTTATGATTCAAAAATGTAAAATTTACTTTACATCAATTATTTATTATTATTATTAACATTATTATTATTATTATTATTATTATTATTTTAACATAAAAAATTGTGTAGTGTATTTTATAACAAAACTCTCTGTACATTTTCCTTAGAGGACTTTCCGTGCCACAGGACAAATCTAAATGAAGAAAAGGTAAAAAAGAAAAATTTATTTCATGCATGCTTGCTTGTTTTTCTCTTCGGTGACACGTTAAAGCTTTTTTTTTTTGGCAAAAGTGACACGTTAAAGTTGGAACTTGGTTTTGCATCTTTCCTCTTTCTCATTGTTGTGTTGGCCAAAGCAGGTACGGGAAAGAAGGGGACGTGGGTAATAAAGGAAAATAGGAAAAGATGAGAAACGGCCAACTCTAAAACGCCACTTTCAATAGCTTTTGAGAATTTGGCTGTTTGGAATAAAAAGCCAAATGAAAAAGCTAATTAACCAAACATTTTATTAGCTGATTAATCTGGTCAAAAAGCCAAATATTAGTCAAATCAGCCAAAAAATGGCTGATTGGCTCGTAACCAAACACCCCCATAGAGTACATTATAGTTTTATGTATTTAAAGTAAACGATCGTTACATGTATAAATAATTTCAATTGTTTCGGCAGATAAAAACAAAAGTAACCGAACAGCTATTCAATACCAACTCTGAAACTTCTTACGTGGCTTATTGTAAAGGCATGCACTTGTTTACATTTACTTTTAATAATGCATTAGTTTAATTAGAATAGGTTAGCTGTACATGCAAGTGAATAATAAAACAAAACCTGTGACTCCCTGAGGACTGATGACTGAAAAGTAAGACTGCAATTGTTTGCAATAAGACCCGTGATAGAGGCATGTCTACTACGGAGTATATACGAAGAGTTGCTAAAATCTTTGAATTTAATTTTTAACTCATATAGCCATATCTACTAATCTACTAATCTACTAATATATAAAAGGAAAAGATTTCTTGGAATGAAAGTTGCCGCTCAAAAACATCACTGTCAGGTGGGTCAGCTTCCTAAGTTGCAAATAACTATAAACAATATTGAAAATAAATACTCCCTCCGTAACTTAAAAATCTTCTCACTTTCCTTTTTCGTCCGTAACAAAAAAATCTTCTCATTTCTAAATCTTCCCATCATACCCTCAATAATTCTTAAAATAATACACTATTACAACTACTTTTTTTGGATTTATCCTACATTCCACCACATTATTCCACTATTTTCCCATCATACCCTCAATAATTCATATCATCTTTCACTATTCTTAATCTACCTACTTTTGAAATGGGAAGATTTTAAAGTTACGGAGGGAGTAGTTATATGTGGGTGTGAATGTCTAATAATGTTAGGGAGATAGACCTAAATAGGACTTAAAAAAAGTGCTCTGCACGTAAATAGGACTTCAAAGTTTTAAACTCCTAAATAGGACTTCTTTGGAACGGAGGGACAAAAATACCCACACACATGCGGTTCCAGTAAATTCAACTGCCAATATAGGGAGACGCATCTTGCCCATCCATTACATTCATAACAGAACAATTGTTCTCGTCGATCCCAGGTCAAAATCCAGTCTGCAGCTGATTGCCGCCAGAGTTATCGCGGTACGAGTCATCACTGAAGTGATCGATCACCGATGGCATGGCCTAGAATCCAGATAGGCTCCTCCTTCTTTCTCCCATCTTCCAAGTTCTTAGGGAGATTCTTCTATGCCCCTTACATCTCCGGTTGTGCAGATCTGCTATTCGTCTTCTGTATATTGTTCTTCTTCCCTGCTACGTAGTATTGTTCTAATTTTATTCGCAGCGCGCTTCATTTGTGAAAAAACATAAGACCCGCTTCGGACAAAAAGGCATGGTCACAGGCCAAAATCATGACGGTGGGGCTGGTCACCTCACGCAACTGGCAGGCAAGGAATTCATAGGGGGCACTACGGCTCTGAATTGGATGAGCCGTGTTTGTTAACTCAAAGACTGATTTAGGTTGTTGCGCGATGGGCAATGGGCATGTTCAATTTTGAAATAGTTCTGAGTCAATTTGAAAATTCAACTTTGTATTATGATTAATTAAAGTTACAGGAATACTTTCAACTTGCAGTGCCAAAATGGTGCAATAATGTCAATTGGCAAAATGTCCCAACTTTAAAATGATATCACAATGTAAAATATTATCATTACTTTAAAATGATATCACAATGTAAATTATTATCATTATAAATATTGTCACAACAAATCATGTCATAATATTTTAAACATTATCAATATGTAGAGAAAATGTCACAATGTCAAAGGAGTGTCACAAATACAAATGACAATGTCACTCTTATAAAAATGACATTGTAATAATGACAGTGTTGGTATTGGCCCGCTTGTCCCATAAGCCCAATAACCCAGAGGAGTACCCGGCCCACCTCTTGCTTTACCGATTCGCATCGCCATGGTTCTATCTGCACGATTCTTTCCTTCGATCCTTGCTGCAACATTCCCCTGTCAAGGCCATTCAAATTCGAATTTTGATCTTTAGAAGGTAAGTTACCATCTTTGAAGCTTGAACTTGGCCCTTTATATAATCTCGTTCTTCTCTTCTTTAGTGGACTGGTTGGCCGAAAATAAAACCCTCCTCTCCCAAATTACTCCTCTGTGGATTCCGATTAAATTGGCTGGAAAGCTTGAAGGCAGATGCCCATATCTCCCCTTGTGACCAAAGTGGTTGATTATCATCCTTTGTGGGTGAAAGTTCGTGAGACCTGAGCTGGAAGTCCATCTAACAGTGGTATCAGAGCCACGGAGGGACTGCCGCCGCCTCGCCGCCGCCTCGCCGTCGCACGCCGTCGCCGGAGGTCCTGCAGTGCTGCCGCCGTCGGTCCTGGGGTTCCACCATCGGTCCAGAGGGTTCCAGCCGTCCAAGGAGGTCCTGCCAGTCCGGTCCAGACCTGTTGCCGCTGCCTGGGAGATTCTGCCGCCAGTCTGCCGCCGGTTCAGTCCGCTGCCGCCTGTCCAGTCCACTTCCACCGAGTCTACAGCAGCCCACGCTGCCTACGGTAAGTCGGGTAACCCAACCTCGGGCCCCGCTCAGGTAAATTGGCGTTTAACATCCTTGGTGTACCGGAGTGCCACCGGATTTTTTTTTTCCCCGTTCCCCGCTGCCCGCTGCTGACCTACGTGGTCTTGGATGCCGGCTGTGCCCGGCCCCAGGTACGTTTACTAATCCTTTGTGTGATTATTATTCGTAGTTCATTCATTTTTTAATTCCAAGTTGAATTGCTCTTTGCTTGTTAGTTGAATTGTGATTACTTGTTTGTTGGTCCGTGGATTAATTTTCCGGTGAAGAATATTTTGTTTGGACACTCGTTGTCCAAAGTTGTGAATATTTCTTCCGGTTTAAATTTAATCCGTTTGGATTTTGTTTTTTCTGTTGATTGATTTGTGGATTAATTTTCCGGTTAAGAGTATTTTGTTTGGATACTTGGTGTCCAAAGTTGTGAATATCTCTTTTCGGTTTAAATTTAATCCGTTTTAAGTTTTGATTTTTCTGTATTGATTCGTGGATAAACTCTCCGGTTAAGAATATTTGTTTGGATACTTGTTGTCCGAAGTTGGGAATATTTCTGTCCGGATTAGTTTTAAATCCAGTTTCTTTGCCTATTGATTTAATTTTAGCCTATTTGTGCTTGTACGAAAGAACAAGGAGATTGTACCCCGAACTTTGTGTTCATTGGTCTTCTCGGCTTGTTCGTGCTAGTTGCTTCGTACAATTGATAGCCCTATAGGTTATAATTAATCATTTATCTGTCTGTTGAGTAAATAAAATTTTATCTGTGCTTGTACGAAAGAACAAGGAGATTGTACCCGAGCCTTGTGTTCATTGGTCTTCTCGGCTTGTTCGTGCTAGTTGCTTCGTACCGGTTGATAGCCTGATAATTTTTTTTTTTTTTTTATTTACTCTCTTGCGTGTTGTGCTTGCTTTCCGGTTAATATGGCTGTCAATCAATATGGCATGCTTCCATTTAACGGAAAGACAGATTTTGATATCTGGAAACAGAAAATCAAATGCGTGTTGATCCAACAGAAAGTCTATAGAGCTGTGACTGGTCTCTATTTAGACTCTGAGGATGCTGCTAAGCGCGTTGAAATGAATGAAACTGCTTGTTCCTCTATATACCTGAACCTTTCTGATTCAGTGCTCAGGAAGGTGGGTATTATAGATTCCGCGAAGGATTTGTGGGACAAGTTGGATAAGCTGTATACCGATACTTCTTTGCCTGGTAAATTGTTTTTGCTTGAGAAGTTCTTTAGATTTAGGCTCGACCTGTCTAAGGACATAGATGAGAACCTAGATGTGTTTAACAAGCTTATTCAGAACATTAAGCAAGCCG